CCCAAGAATCACATCAGTAGTTATTTTCCATCTCTACTGAATCTCCCTGGCACCCCAAATTAGGACATCCTTCAAAAGCTGTGTTAGAACATCTACCAAACCTTACTGATAATGCTTTGCCTAAGTTTTCTTGTGATACTTGTCACTTTGCAAAACAAAAGAAACTCTCATTCAATAAAAGTTCTTCTATCTCTTCAACTTGTTTTGAATTGTTGCATTTGGATGTGTGGGGACCTTATAATATTCCTTCATCCAATGGTAGTAGATACTTCTTAACAATTTTAGATGATCACAGTAGAGCTACCTGGACTTATCTTATGAAACTCAAATCCCAAACTCAATCCATCTTTGCAGCTTTTCTAAAATTGATCCAAAACCAGTTCCAAGCCCATGTGAAGACAGTTAGAACTGATAATGGCTCTGAATTCACCAGCCACATGTTTTAACAGTTACTTCAAGAAAATGGAATTATTCACCAGAAAATCTGCCCTTATAATCCCCAACAGAATGGGAGAGTGGAGAGAAAACATCAACATCTTTTAACTGTGATGAGAAGCCTCCTTGTTCATTCAGGGTTGTCTACCTCATTTTGGGGGGAAGCCTTGCTCACTGCCACCTATCTAATCAATCTTCTTCCTACACCTATTCTAGAATGAAAATCTCCTTACTACATCCTCTATAAGATCAACCCCACCTTAACTCATCTTCGGGTCTTTGGATGTTTATGCTTTGCATTAAACTCCAATCCATCAAAAACTAAACTTGAAAGAAGGGCTGTAAAATGCATATTCATTGGGTATGTAGATGGAACAAAATGGTACGAACTTTTAGATCTTGAATAAAATAAATTCTTGATTTCTAGAGATGTTATGTTTATGAACACCTATTCCCAAAACAGGCTGAAAACACTCTTGAATCACCTTCTGTAAGTTGTTCTTTACCCTTTGCAGGTACTTGGGTTCTTGCTCCTTCAGCTGCCCCTTCTTAGTCCACGGATCTCGCTCCAGTTGGCTCCTCTTCTCAGGCCACCACAGAGAACTCCTCAACTCTGCCTGTCAGCCCAGAGGTAAGCTCTCTGTCACCAAATATGAATTCAAAACCTAATATCAACCTTCCTCAATTTCTCTTCCTGACTCTCCATCACTCACCACCACCCATGATTCATCCTTACCCACTTAACCAGCTTCAAGACCTCACAGAGCCCTTAGAAAACCAACCTGGATGCAAGATTATGTATGCTCATGTGGCTTGGTGTCTAATGACTCTAGTGAAGTGGAACCTTACTCATACTCTGAAGTTGTCAAACATACTCACTGGATATCAGCCATGAAAGAAGAGTTGAAGACCCTTGAGGAAAACAAAACTTGGGAATTAGCTCATTTGCCATAAGGGAAAAGAGCTATAGGATGCAAATGGATCTTTCGAATAAAGAGGAATAAAGATGGTTCAGTGAACAGGTATAAGGCCAGACTAGTGGAAAAAGGATATCTCCAAGTTCATGGAGTAGACTTTGGCGAATCCTTTGCTCATGTGGCTAAAAGTGTAACTGTTAGATTGATTTTGGTTGTTGCAGTAATAAAAGGATGGAAAATACAACAAATAGATGTGAATAATGCCTTCTTGCATGGCCACTTAGATGAAAAGTTGTACTTTAAGCCACCACCTGGGTACTCAGCTCAAAATGGTCTGGTCTGCAGATTAAAGAAGTCCTTGTATGGATTTAAGCAAGCCCCCCGTGTGTGGTATAAGACATTTACAGGAAAAGTGCTCGCCTTTGGATTCACACAGTCTTCACACGATCATTGCTTATTTGTGAAATTCCAGGACAGAGACATTCTCATTCTCACTGTTTATGTCGATGATATATTACTCACAGGGTCATCAGAAAAATCAATCTATGAAGTGAAGGAATACTTGCATGAAGCCTTCACAATCAAGGATTTTGGGGATGTTAGATTCTTTCTGGGCATTGAGATTAAACATCATGATGATGGAATGTTGTTGTCTCAATCCAAATATATATTTGATCTTTTAGAAGACCACAAGATGCTCGATGCTAGACCTACCTCTACTCCATTGCCTGCTGGGTTGAGATTGTCCTCTCAAAATGGAGACTCCCTCTCAGATCCCACCAGATATAGAAGACTAATTGGAAGACTTCTATACTTGAATTTTTCCAGACCAGACATAGTGTTTGCTACCCAACAACTCAGTCAGTTTATGGATAAACCTCTTGTAGCTCATTCGAAGGCAGGGTTACACTTGCTCAGATACTTAAAAGGATCTATGAACCTCCATCTACAGTTCTCGGCTGATTCAACACTACAACTTCAAGCATTCTGTGATTCTGATTGGGGAACTTGCCCAAATTCAAAAAAATCCATAATTGGGTATTGCGTGTTCCTAGGGTCTAATCTGATCTCATGGAAAACCAAGAAGCAATCCACAGTGAACAATTCATCCACTGAGGCTGAGTACAGGAGCATGGCAACCACAACTTGTGATATGCTTTGGCTCTTGTATTTGTTTAGTGCCTTGAATCTTCCTGTACTAGAGCCTATCCTTCTTCATTGCGATAATAAGTCTGCTCTACATATTGCTGCTAATCCAGTATTCCATGAAAGAACTAAGCATATAGAGATTGCGTGTCATCAAGTTCGACAGCGATACATGGAAGGTTTCATTGCTCTTCATTATGTAAGGTCCAAAACTCAATTAGCGGACATCTTCACTAAAGCTCTTCCTGGTTTTGTGTTTCAATCTCTGCGCACCAAGCTTCATTTGATATCGCATGGCTTCAAGAGCAGGTGTGAAAATCAAGATTAAGAAGAATTAGAACCATAAAGGCCTTTTGTAACTTTGTGGGCTTTTGTTGTATTATTATTTGTTAGGTCCAATCCATTTACAATCCAATATTTCTCTTTGTCGTTTCTTTCTTTAGTTTGTTAGAGAGAATTTAGTTTGTTAGCATAGAAGCTTCTCCTTTCCTTACTCTCATTCAATTGTATATATACATACTACGTGCTCTGTTGAATAAATGTGTGGTGAGAAGTTTTCCAGAAACTCCTCTATGCTTTAAAATTTCTCACGGAGGAGCGACGTTTCCGGCGAATCGCATCGATTTGGACTGAAAGAGGAAAATGGGTAACTGGTGGTACGTGACGGTCGTCAACGGAGGAGAGGGGCAAGACATCGGGCGAACTCGGGAGACATTGGTATGGTGAACTTCGTAGGATGGTATTCGGTTGAATAAGGGGAATCTATAAATTAGCTTAGGGTGTGTTTGTTTGAGGAATTTTGTGGGATTTCTACTATTCCCACAAAATTTTCCCTCCAAAACATTAAATCAAATATTTAATTTTTATTTTTTTATATTATACTAAAAATCAATTTTATATTCAAAACATCGTATCAATTCTTATTTATATCACATCATACAACTATTCAAATTCAAATTCTTTTCTATTCAAATCTCAATCCAAAATTCAAACCCTCAGACAAACACACCAATTATTATTTAATTAGGTTCTTTTTTTGTTTTAATATAGATGAAATGACTAATATATCCATCCATTTTAATTAATATATCTTGAGATGTATCAGGAATGTTGTAATTTTATATAGTGATATATCAATTTTTGTTAAAAAAAATCGGAGTATAAGTAAAAATGAGTTTTTTTACAATATTTTTGTAGCAAATTTGAAAAGCCATATAAATTTTTTTCTTTTATTTATAATTTTGCCTATTTAATATAATTGAAAAAAAAATATTTATTTATGTAAATAAGTGGTGTTATGCCGTGTATGTATATAATAACTCTGCTTTCGCCACCTCTGAATAAATAAATAAATAAATGGAATGTCAACCCAGGGATTTCTACTTTTGCCTTGAAAATACTTGTTTTTATACCAAGGGTGTGTTTGTTTGGGGATTTTCCCCCAAATTCAGTATTCATCTATTTTTACTCTAAAAATATTAAATTAAACACATATTTTTTATTTTTATATTATATTAAAAATTAATTTTATATTCAAAACTTCTCATTAACACCTATTTATATCGCATCATACAACTATTTCAATTTAAAATTTTTACTATTTAAATCCCAACTCAAAATCCAAACCCCCAACAAACACGTCTGTTTTGATTGACTTAAAAAATAAGAAAAGCAATTCGATTTTGTATTTGGATGAATCATTATAAAAACAATTTTTGATAAAAAATTGTTTGTATGTAATAAAGTTGAAAATTATTTTAAACAGTTAAAATTACTCATGTGAATATAATTGTATTTTTCTATATAAATTATATATATTTTTAACTTTTTTTTAATCACATTTAAATATTTTAAATAAAAGTATAGAAAATAAAATATTAAAATTTCATTATTTATATTTTAAAATTTAATTGTTAAAAAAATATAAATTAAAAATAAAATTACAATATAATAGGAGTATTAAATTATTCTATTGTGTTGTATTTGCTTATGTAGTTTTTATTAAATAAATTATTGTAATTTTATTTTATAATATTTTTATAATTTATAATATATTTATTTATTTATTTTTAAAAGAGCTAATCCATTATCTATATATTTTATTTTAACAATTAATAAAATAATAGTTATAATAAATACAATATTTAAATAATATTTTGATAATAAATTTTTTAAAAATAACATAAGCTAATTAAAACTAAAAAATATAAAAGTATGATTTATAATTTTAATAAATTAAATATTACAAAAATTAATATTTATTTAGTATTGATTAATTATAAAATTAATAATAAAAAATATAATTTTAAAAACAAATGTATATATTATGATGAAAAAGTAACAAAAATAAAAATAAAAATAAAAATAAAAATAAAAATGAATTTCTTTATAAAAAAGAAAAGAAGAAAAAAAAAAAAAAAAGTATGAAAGCTTATGTGGCATAGAGAAGGTGACCGGGAAAATAAAAGCCATAATATTCTATGTATAAACTGCATAAATAGTCGGATTCCTAATTGCAGTCCCAATTGCAATTGAGTTCTAGGGTTTAAAGATTTTCATTTCAGATGTCCAAGCGAAAGTATGGATTCGAAGGCTTCGGCATCAATCGCCAGCCCACCTACAACTTCGATCGATCCCAACCCTCCCAGCGTTTATACGTTCCTCCTTCCTCTCGCGCCGGCGGTGACGACGACGCCGACCTTGACAATATTGAATATGCAGAAGACCGCGACGCATCGAACGACAACAACGGCGCTGCTGCTACTTCTGCTGGCGATGAAGATGAAGTTGATCCTCTGGACGCCTTCATGGAAGGGCTACAGGAGGAGATAAAGGCCGCGCCGCCCCCAAAGGCCAAGGAAAAGTTCGACAAGTATAAGGATGATGTGGAAGATGATCCAGTGGAAAGCTTTCTCAAGTCCAAGAAGGATTTGGGCCTGCAATTGGCTGCGGATGCCTTGCACGCCGGGTATAATTCGGATGAAGAGGTTTATGCGGCAGCCAAGGCAGTGGATGCGGGGACGCTTGAGTACGATTCTGATGATAATCCTATAATTGTTGACAAGAGGAAGATTGAGCCAATACCTGCACTTGATCACAGCGCAATTGACTACGAGCCCTTTAATAAGGATTTCTACGAGGAGAAGCCTTCCATCTCAGGTTATTTGAGTATAGCTGTGTCTTCTTATGGCTGGATAAACTTGATACATTTTCCTAATCCTATACTTGAATGGCTTCATTTTAATAATATGTATTAAACATGTAGAAATGACATTTATCCTATACTTATAAGACATGACAGCTGCTCACTTTAGGGATAATGACCTGCTGCACTCATGGCTACGAGTTATCAACAAACATCCTAGAATGTTTTCCTCTTTTCTTTTTTTTTTGGTTTAGTTAGAGATCATGGTTCTTAGGTTTTCTGAAATTATCTTACTGTTTATGAATATTTTGCACGCTTGCTTATAAGGCAGAGAAAGTATATTCATTTTGAGTTGATAACTATGATATATCTGGTGGAGCAAAACAAGTGTGATTACCTGTTTGAGGTTGTTGTACACATCTGAAAATCTTTTGAGCTTAATGACTTTTTGATTTTGCATTTATATGGAAGTAATCTGACTTATGTATTTGCAGGCATGAGCAACCAGGATGTTGCTGATTACCGAGCAAGCTTAGCTATCCGTGTTTCGGGCTTTGATGTTCCAAAGCCGATTAAGGTTTTTGATGATTGTGGGTTTTCTGTTGAGCTTATGAAAGCCATAGCTAAGCAATCATATGAAAAACCCACACCAATACAATGCCAAGCTTTACCTATTGTGTTATCCGGACGAGACATAATTGGGATAGCAAAAACTGGCTCTGGAAAGACAGCTTCTTTTGTACTTCCTATGGTTGTTCATATTATGGATCAACCTGAGCTTGGAAAGGGAGAGGGTCCCATTGGCGTGATATGTGCACCCACCAGGGAGCTTGCACACCAAATATACCTGGAAGCTAAAAAATTTGCTAAATCCCATGGTATCCGTGTCTCTGCAGTGTATGGTGGAATGTCCAAACTTGATCAATTCAAGGAGCTTAAGGCGGGATGTGAGATAGTCATTGCTACTCCTGGGAGATTGATAGACATGATCAAGATGAAGGCACTGACCATGTCGAGAGCCTCGTATTTAGTACTTGATGAGGCAGATCGAATGTTTGACCTTGGTTTTGAACCACAAATAAGGTCAATAGTAGGCCAAATAAGGCCAGACCGCCAGACATTGCTGTTTTCAGCAACTATGCCTCGAAAAGTTGAAAAACTTGCAAGGGAGATTCTCTCTGATCCAGTAAGGGTAACTGTGGGAGAGGTTGGTATGGCTAATGAGGATATCACTCAAGTTGTTGAAGTGATCCCCTCTGATACTGAAAAGATGCCCTGGCTACTTGAAAAGCTTCCTGGACTGATAGATGCGGGGGATGTTCTGATTTTCGCTTCAAAAAAGGCCACAGTGGATGAAGTTGAATCAAAACTAGCTGAAACGGGTTTTAGAGTCGCTGCACTTCATGGTGACAAAGACCAGGCTTCTCGCATGGACATATTGCACAAGTTTAAGTCCGGAACATACCATGTTCTTATTGCCACTGATGTTGCTGCTCGTGGTCTTGACATAAAGTCCATTAAGTCTGTTGTGAACTTTGATATAGCTAAGGACATGGACATGCATGTACATAGAATTGGAAGGACAGGTCGTGCTGGTGACAAAGATGGGACCGCGTACACTCTCATAACACAGAAGGAAGCAAGATTTGCAGGTGAATTGGTGAACAGTTTGATTGCTGCTGGTCAAAATGTTTCCCCGGAGCTCATGGATCTGGCTATGAAGGTAATTCACTTGTGAAGTTTGATTTTTCCTTTTATTGAGGACTTTATGACTATACTCATTATACCCCATTTTCATTTTGTGATAAGTAGTTGTTTAATGTAATAGTTATTTGGATAATCCTACCTAATGTACAGATATTAATTTTCACACCTAAGTGCACTATCCTGTTTCATAGTTGAATAACCATTACTCTGTAACTCATTAGGATGGAAAGTTCAGATCCAAACGAGATGCACGGAAAGGAGGTAAGATATGCCTTTCAACATGATCTATGCTCTTCTTTTTTCTACTTACTGTTCTTAAACTTTGGAAACTGCTTTTCTGGATGTTTGGAAATGAGGTATCATTTCTAGTGTAACATAGGTGTAGAGTTTTTATTTGACAAGAAATTCTTGGAGATACAGACTCAAGACTGGATTAATAACCTCTCTCTCTCTCTCTCTCTATATATATATATATATATATACACACTTTCGTGTGTGTGTGTGTGTGTGTGAATATATTAAATTTGGAAATGCAGTTTACAAATCTTATCCCACTGATGCAGGTGGAAAAAGAGCGAAAGGAAGGGGAGGTGGTAAAGGTGTTCGAGGTGTGGACTTTGGTTTGGGCATTGGGTATAATCCAGAATCAAATGCTGGTGCATCAAATGCGGCCACACCCAGTCGTTCTGTAGCAGTTAATTCTCTGAGGACGGGGATGATGGCACAGTTCAGGAGCAACTTCGTTCCTGCATCAACAAACTCTCAGAATCAATCAATGCAAAACAGCAGCTCGCAAGGCAATAGAAGAATGGCCTTACCGGGCTTTGTATCGGGTGGGACAATTGGTGGTGATGTATATGCTGCAACCATAAACAGTAGTACAAGTACTGTTTGTGCATCAAAAACCTCTGAGGCCGCGAAACCATCAGGGTCTGAAAGGTGAGTTAATTTTTCTCGTTTTATATATATTGGACTGGAGTTGGCTTGTCTTTGTGGTTATGATTCTCTCTCCCTCTCAGTTCCAGAGACAAGGGTAGAGAAAGACGGAGGCCTTCAGGGTGGGATCGCTAGTGCAGTGCAGTATATGAGGAGGTGCCTGCCAGACAATGAATGGTACGATTCTGGAGGTTGTGTTTGTTTGAATTATATTGGTGAGATGATGAGAAAAAGAGAGAGAGAGAGAAGAGTACTCAACTCATTCACCATGGCTGTGGCTGGCCTGTGATGAAAATGATGTGATCCACCAATGGTATTGGTAAGGGCGTCTGCCTGTGTATCTCTAGTGGCTGACTGACTCCACTCTAATTTGAGAACGGAATGCCTGCCTGCTGCCTTGTTTGTATTCCTTTCAGTCTTCAAACTTCATGAAATTGTTACACTTTTTATTATACATTTTGCCATTTTTGTCCGGTCTCATTACTAATTCTGTTCAAATGGCTCTCAATCCACCTTTCCCGCCCTTTATAGAATCTCCTAACTCTAACTCTCTTTGAATAATTAGTTTCTGTTATCCGTAGTACCTGAATCGTGTGATAATTTCAAGGGGTCGATGGTGTCGGATTCGAAGAAGTTCACCTCCTTATTTTTTGTCACACCGGAGCTCCTTCCAGTGATGACCGTGGAACTCCTAACGCTCCGGTGGTTTGCAACTATATTGCCCGTTATATTCTCATTATATTCTTGAGGATCTATTGTTTCTATGACACTGTCCCTGCTAAAGTTTTTTGAGGTATTGATTCTATTCTATTAATATGTTTGTAATTTTGTCAATCTAAACAAATTTTAGTTGGAAAATTAGGAATGAATTTGGTCGAAATGATGTGAAACTTGCTTTGTTTGAGAATAGGTTGTTTTGTACTATTTTTTGCAACCTACAATTAGAGGCTTGTGAGATTCGTCAAGGTGATCCACTTTTTGTCTCTTTTCATCATTGTGGCCGACTAGAAATAGAGTAGACTTTCCAGAACAATCCAACGACTGGATTTTTCTATCTCACTTGGTTTATGTGGATGATGTAAAGTAATTATATTCACATATTTTGCAGCTAATGGGTTCAATCAATCTGATCATGGAATTTTTTATGCACTATGAACATGTCCAAATAAAAGTCGGATGATTCCTGCCAAAATATATGATGAAATATTTTGCGTATTTGTTTTTTTAGAAACACAAAGTCCAAATAGTAGAAAATTGGAGTTTTGTATCAGAAGAAACACACCCATAGTTTCCTCCGGTAACAACTGCTGCTTGAACTGAGGTTGCTGCTGCACAACAAGGACTGAACAAAGAATACATGTTGAATCAGAACTACTATACCTTGATTAACAAGGGTTCTCAATCTTGATGACCTCAAAGTAGGAAAAACAAAGCTTTTCACGGAAAACCGGATTTGCTTCAATTAACCTTTTGAGCTCTACCAACACTACATTACGAGCAGTCTTAGTGTCGGAAAGCTGCTCATTTTTCCTGCCAAGAACAAACATGTGTACTGTTTGAAAATTGGAAGGCCTTCCAAACAAAAATTTCCACTGGAATGAGCAATGAACACATTACTTCAAAGAAAAATATACAAGGCTTCAAGGATTAATCAATTTGTTGCAAAAGAGCATTTTATTTGGCTTGCTTTGAAGAATTAAAGCAAATTCAACCACTAGAAGAGGCAGCCGCTCCAAGGTTTTTCATCACAATACAGAAGATTTTAAGAAGGGAATTCTAGAATGCACAAACACAGATTGGTATGAACACATTCATAAATGGTGTGTGCAGTGACAAGGTGCAGGCCAACTGCCATTCTAATTCTAGACCCATGCCAATAGGCTTGTGCAAGCCATGCACATGGGTCTATATCGACGACATTGTTGTCACGGGCTGACATTCTTGCCCCTCGTTCACGACCATAGTTCGTCCCATGTGTGCGAGCTCCTGTCTTGTACGACCGACTAATGATCCATATCTTGGTGCAGGTACGTGTTCTGCATGATTTGCTCATATTGTATGGTATATCCCAGTGTTGTGCATAGGGGACGGCTGATCTGGGCCTCAACGCGGGCGTCGCCTAGACGCCGGGCGTGTCAGCTTCCGGACATGTTAAATATGGTATCAGAGCGGATGGTGATGGTGGACTCTCCCTCGTGACCTGCGGAGGTGCCTTGTGTCAAAAGTCTCCTAACGTTGGGTCGGTCCCGACAGTTATGGTTGGTCAGACAATGGGTCCATTTGTGATAGGCTGTACAAGGTGGCAGAAAAGGCCCATTGGTTGGTCCTTGGTTTGAGGGAGGATTGTTGGGTGCAAACCGAAGTCCCACATTGGAAGTTGTAAATGAAATTCCACACCTTATAAGTCCTAAATCAACTCCACTAGTATAAGGCCTTTTAGAGAATATCCAAAAACAAATCCGTGCGGGCTCAACCCAAAGCGAACAATATCATACTAAGTGTTGAGTTGGCCCAATCCTAAGTGGACTGTATGGCATTAGGCATTGGTTGTGGTAGTGGGCTCACCCGATGGCGACACCAGTCGGACTACCGCGGCGCATTAGGAATAGTTCGTGAAAAGAGTATCATTTCTTCGTATGAAAGTATCATATTTTCATGCAATTTTCGTTTATTTTTCATAGTCTTCTTCATGCTTCTTTGTTCTCTTTATTTTCCATTAATTTTTTGTACATTCTCCTTTTATTTTTTTCCTTTCTTCTCTTTTATTTTTATCCCAATTTTCATTTATTATTTGCAAACACATCTTCGGATCCTTTTTAACGGAACTTGGAGAACTCATTCGATTTTTTGGCTATTCAATTCAATAAGAGCATTCGCATCAATGAAACCCCATCTAGGTTTCTCCCCTCTTTTTCATCTATTTTACGCCATATTTTTTCTCCGCCACGTTATCGAAAAAACTCATTTCATTTTATACTCAAATCAACGAAACTTATTTACACAAATTGTAATTTTTTTCTTAATATTATTAAATTATTTATTTTTAAAATAATTTAAATAATAATTATTTTATCCGATATACATATTTATTAATATTTATTTATCTAATAATTTAATTTATAAATTATAACAAATATTTATTATTATTATTAATTAAAATTTTATTAAAAAATATATCAATATCGGTATTATTTTGTAAAAATTTTTTTTTATAGAATATAAAATTATTAATATATATAATTAAAATAAAATATATAAAAATAGATAATTTTTTCCTTTTGCCAAGTGTCCCAATAAAACTGTGACACATGGCAAAAACAATAATATCGCCGCGGATGCCTGCTTATTTCACTATTATTTTATTTATTTATTTATTTTTTTATGTTGACGTCGGATTTCTCTGTAGGAAAGAAACCCTTGATGCGGACTATCCGCATCATTGAAAACTAACATGAGTTTCTTCCCTCTCTTTTCTCTTCTACGTTATATTCTCTCCGCCACGTTATCAGAGAAACTTATTTCATTTTATATCTTTATGGAAAAAACTCATTTACATAAATTTTAATTTCTCTTTCGTCCCTATTATTAAATTATCTATTTTTAAAATAATTTAAATAATAATTATTTTTATCTAATATACATATTTATTCATATTTATTTATTTAAAAATTTAATTTATAAGATAATAACAAATATTTATTATTATTATTATTATTATTATTATTATTATTATTATTATTATTATGTTCTTGTTTCGATCGATATTAATATTATTATTTAATTATAATTATTTATATTTAATAAAATTCAATATAAAAAATATATTTAATATAATAATCTATATATATAAGAAGATAAAAATAATTGCAAATATAACAATGCAATTATTTAAATTAAAATAACATCAAACAATTTAATTATTTGGAGAATCAAATTTCTATTATATATGTTTAATTAAATCTAATTTAGTTGATGATGTGTTCTACGATCTCGAAGTTTGATTGGATTTTCTAAATACTTTGTCATACCAGCATGTTTGTCCGTTGAATATGACCAATCAATTTCTTCTGTATCAAATTGAGATATATCATCATAAAATATGTATGTATCCCTTTCATCTTCAACAATCATATAATGTAAGATGATATATGAGTTTATGATCTTACCAATTAAATTGATATCCCAAATAACTTATGAATTACGAATAATAGCAAATCGAGCTTGTAATACACCAAAAGCACGTTCCACATCTTTTCGAGCAGCTTCTTGATGTTGTGCAAACAATTTTGCCTTAGAACCTTGTGGAAGACGAATTGATTGGATAAAAGTTGCCCATGTAGGATAAATATCATCCATAAGATAGTATCCCTTATTATATTGGTGACCATTGACAATAAAATTTATTTTCGGAGCTCTACTATTCGAAACATCGTTAAATATTGGAGATTGCTCAAACACATTAATATCGCATGTACCTGGTGTACCAAAGAATTAATGCCAGATCCAGATATCATACGATGCCACCGCCTCTAATACGATTGTTGGTTTGCCATGATCTCCACGTGAAAACTGACATTTCCAAGCGGTCGGACTTTTTCTATTCCCAATGCATACAATCATTACTACCGATCGTCCCTGGGAAACCATGTTCTTCTGCAACAAGGTTTTTAGAAGTGGTTTTTAGAATGAAGGATGTTGTAAAAATAATACTCCCCCCGTCTCATATCTATATATCTATTTGTTTTTTGCACGGAGTTTTAGAAATATTAGTATTATATTGAGATAAAGTAGAAATAAAGGTAAAAAGACTAAATTAACCATATTAGTATTGTATGACATAAAGGTAATGACATTTGTGTAATATATTGTAAATTTGAATGGTATTTGTAATGTTAGGTAGATGATACAATTACTAAAAAAAGGAAATTGATACTTTGTTATGGGACATTCCAAAATGAAAAGACGGATAGATTGTTAAGGGACGGGGGAGTAGAAGATATATTATTTATATTATCCAACAATGTAGTACATGTTATAGTAATAAGTGTGATTTGATGTTACAAATAAAAAAGAGTTCAAAATGTGTAAGAAGCTAGTACAATAATCAATTCAATAAAATTAATATGATATGAAAATTCAATTTTATGGTACAATTTTTTGTATTTATGTGTCTTTAAATAAAATAAATAAATAGTATTGATTTGATACGATAATGATAAATATAAGAATGATGTAAAAAACTAGTACAATAATTAATTCAATAAAATTAATGTGATGTGAAAATTCAATTTTATGGTACAATTTTTTGTATTTATGTGTCTTTAAATAAAAATAAATAAATACTATTGATTTGATACTACAAATATAAATATAAGAATTGCGCAAGAAACTAGTACAATAAAATTAAAATGATGTAAAAATTCAATTTTATGGTACAATTTTTGTATTTATGTGTTTTTAAATAAAAAATTAAATACTATTGTTTGATACTACAATGATAAATATAAGAATTGTGTAAGAAACTAGTATTATGATGTGAAAATTCAAAGATAAAAGTTGGTGCGATGTGAAAATTCAAATGATGGTACAATTATTTGTATTATGAATAGGAGTGTTCTATTCATATAGTAACATATCAACTTTATCTCTTTTATTTCTTTATATATTTTTTTTAATCATAGATCAAAATTCTCAAAACTCCTCAAATCCTCAACATCTTTTATGTTTATGAGTTTTATAAATATACTTGGAAATCAAGAATCTTCACAAAACTTGTCAAACCAAAATTCCACTTTCAATTATCAAACACTTCTAAATTTTTTTAATTCACCATACTCTTCCATTCCACCAAATTTCTACCCGCCAAACTTTCAAGCGTTTGGAGTTTCAAAAAGGTTTTGCGTTTGAAAGAGGAAATTTGAATACTATCTGGAAAATAAGTTGGATACAAGTACGTGAAGAAGTTCAAATTAATGTAAAATTCGTTGGCAAAATATTAGTAAAGATTTTTTTAAAATTTGTTGGTTGTTACGAGCAAACCGACCAAAGAAAACAATCTAATGATTATGTCTTAAACAAGACATACGAAATATATTCTGCCGATTGTGGTACGTCTTTCACATATGAGCATGCATGGCGTGTGTTAAAACATTCACCAAAATGACATATAAATTATTGTGCTACTAATATTGTTGGTGGAGCGTCTCATGATAGTTGTGATGGTTCGAAGAGAACCAAAATCAATGAAGCTGGTAGATATTCATCAGGTTCAAATCCTCCAACACTACAAAATGATACTTTTGATGAATCACATCTTATTCGTTCCCCTAGTGTCAAAGTTTGCAAAAATAAGGGAAAATGAGTACAAAAACAAAATTCAAAACATATTTTTTTTTATGAGGATTTTGAAGAAATGAAAGCTCAAAATGCAAAAACTATAGAAAATTTGGGTCATATTGCTGATATGAGAGAAAACAAAATGAAGAAGAATATTGATTTTATCCATCTAAAATGTTTGAAACATTTGTTGGCAAAAGGTGAAAATTTGGATGCGGACGAGAAAAAATTGAAGACCAAATTATTGAACGAATTGTTTAATTATCTATATTGTTATATTCATTACTTTTAATATTTTATTTTCTAGGTTATTATGTATATTATTATGTTTATTGATTTTCATATTTTATTTTCTAGATCATTATGTATGTTGTTATGTATTTTACATCTGATATTGTAATTTATATTATTATTATTTTTTTTAAATTTCAATTATATATTCAGTAATTATACAAGAGTATATTTTAATTATTTGTGTAATTTAATGAATAAATTATAAGATAATTAGAAAATTAAATTGTTATTATTATTTATTGATTATATTTAATTAAAATTTTATTAAATAAAAGTATATCAATATTGATATCATTTTGTAAAAAAATAAAATTTTATAAAATATAAAAGTTATTAATAAATATATATATATAATAAAAATATAGTGTATAAAAGATAACTAAAAATAAATATTTTTTTTGCATTGTGTTTCAATTTAATTGGAATGGAACATATGATAAGAATTATACCGATGTTAGATTTTTGTGCGGACACTGCAGAATCAACCAACGCTACACGTTGGCACGAAAGAATTTGATTTTTAGTTTTTTTTTTAGTCCGAAGAGTAGGTTTCTCACCAATGTGATAATCTTCGAAACTATTGCTAAGCAAGTAAAACCAGAAACAATTTATCATAAACAATACATACACACATATACGTACGAAACATAACAATTTAGGGAAAAGGGAAACTACAAATTATTTGAGAAAAAAACACAATGAAATCCGCAATACAATTCATCACAATAATATATTCATTGTAAAAAAAGATAAAATTGAAACCATAATGATAATGATATGATAGCAACCACAATAACTTATTTCTAGAAGTCCTTTTTATCTAAATTTTAAAAGAATTTTTTTCTTCTATCGAAAAAGACCTTACACATCCGAATAAATTTCGAGAGCAAAATTTTGATTGAAAATTGCAATTGGCTCGTATAGAGCTGTAAAACAAATAAACAGTTCGCAAGCTCAATTTGATTCGATTCGTTTAAGCTTGCTAAGAGCTCGTTCGTTAAGCTAAATGAGCCGAACACGAATATAAATTTTAGCTCATTATGTTCACGAACGAGCTTGAGTTCGATAGTACTTATTAGAAAAATTAAATTAATAATTTTATATTTAATAAATATATATATTTATAAATATTATGTTTTACTCTATTTTTTATTTAAATTTATTAATAAAAATTATAATTATAATTAACTAAATTTAATTTTTTTAAAAATTAAATAAATAAAATAAATTTTTTCTTAACAAGCCGAGTCGAGCTGAACACAAACAAAAAAAATGTTAAACGAGCCAAGTTCAAACAAAATTTCAGCTCGTATCTCTTAACAAACGAACACGAGCTGAACTCGAATCCTTAATAAACCGAGCTCAAACATGACAAGCTCGGCTCTCTTAGGTTCGTCTGCAACTTTACCTCGTACAATCAAGGCACAATCGCGGCTAAAATTGTCTTCTTCTTTCTACTGATATTCTCTCTCCGCCTAGCTCTCTCTTTATCTATTTTCCCCCGAATTTAGCCCCGTCCCCTTCTTCTCCTTTCACTACCACCATCTGTGTGCCTCTAAACATAACTAAGCCATGACTTTTATCATCAACCATCCTTTAATTTTAGTTGTCATTTTATTAGTTAATATATATATATATATAAAATAATTTAATTTTAAAAAATTAATTTTAATAAATGGGATCCAGTTAGGATTTTCATAGGCCTAAGTACAGCCCAGTTCATAGGCATGTCAGATCGGTCCAAAAATTTTCGAATATATTTTTAGAAGTCGAAACACATTTTTTCGTGCCGTACTCAATCACCCATACTTGGCGCACTCAACAAATTCCAACTTATTAGAAAAATATATATACATCACTGTTTCGAGACTACTTTTACTTAACATTGTTATTGTTCTTATTGTCTTATTTACTATACTATTCTAGGTCATTAAAAAATTTTTTTAAGTGAAATTAAAATTAATTACTGTAATTTATATATTTTTTTGCGAATATAATATTACGAGCAATAAATATATTAATAAAATTAATTATAAATAAAATATTTAATTAATTTAATTAAAATTAAAAAAAATAAATTATATAATTTAAAATATAATTAAAATACATAATTTATTTTTTAAAATAAAAAGACAAAAGTAATATAATTTTTTTTTTTCTTACAAAATATTTATCAAATATTTTTTTAATAGCAAACACAAACCATTTGTTTTAATAAACATTTTTTAAATTTAACTTATTTAATCGCAGTGTAGGAGGTTGCGGTCGCGGTCGCGGTGCGCTCAGGCAGTCCTACTCTCTCATCTCCCACAAAACCCTAAACACTAAGCCCCATTTCGTTCCTTCCGACGATGGCAGGTTATGCTCGCCGACACGCTACTTCGGCAGCATCCGCATCCATTCACAAGGTCCAAGCTGCGAGGGCAGCGTCCGCATCGGATGATCGCCTCTACCGGAGGTTGTCCGCATTGGGCCATGCCAAAGGGACGGTGGCCACCACCATAAATGAATACATAAGGGAGGGGAAAGCCGTTCGAAAGTTCGAGCTCGAAAACTGTATCAAGGAGCTCCGTAAATACAGAAGACACCAACAAGCTCTCGAGGTCCTCTCTCTCTCTCTCCCTCTCTCTATCTATCCATATATATATATCTCTCCAATTTTCATTGTGATTTTGTTTTTGTCCAGGCACATTAGTGTGCCCTGTACCATATCTTTGAATCCGCGAAAAATCAATGCAGTGGTCCTAGTGTACGCGTTGAACCGATATACTTGAATGTTGCTTGATTCTGTATCCGCAGCTATGAAACTCTGTATCTTAATTTTATTATCCTAGATTCACTAATTTTCAGGGTTAAACTGCGTAGCATATGAAACGGTAGCTTAGAATTGATTAATTTGGTACATTTACCTGAAGATTGACGATCATTTTGGACCATTTCTCTTTACTGCATACTTACACTTGATTGAGTAGCTAATTTCACCTGAACTTGACAAGTGATGGCAGTTCCTGCATAGAAGCTGATTACACTTAACCATCATATTGTCTTTTGACATCTGCTAAGGTTACTTTTGATATGAAATGGTCTTTTACATCTTCAGATAATGGAGTGGATGGAAGCTCGAAAGTTCAACTTCGGGCGCAAAGATCATGCAAAGCGCGTGGATCTAATTGGAAAAGTTATGGGAGCAGATGCTGCTGAAAGTTATGTGAGTGGCCTGTCGCCTTCTTCGAAGGTACATAGCACCTACGGAGCACTTCTGAATTGCTACTGTGAGGAGAAGATGGTGGATAAGGCGCTCGATCTCTTTGCCAAAATGGTTGAGGACAAGATGATACTATCTCCATTGCCATACACCAATCTCATGTCCATGTATATCAAATTAGGGCAACCGGAGAAGGTGGTTGCCTTAGCAGAGGAGATGAAAAAGCAGAATGTTAAGTTGAACATTTATACATACAACTTACTCTTAAATGCCTACGCGCATTTGAATGACATCGAGGGGGTGGAAAGAGTCTTTGAGGAGATGCAGCGAGACAATGCCAAGGGGTGCAATTGGACGGTATACAGTAACTTGGCTGTTGTGTACATGAAGGCTGGACATAAGGAAAAGGCTGAGTTGGCTTTGAAAAATCTTGAGAAGGTAATGCCTAAGCAGGATCGCGAGGCATTCCATTTCCTGATAAGCTTGTATGCCGGCCTTTCGGATCTTGATAACGTCCGTCGGATATGGGAGTTGTTGAAGTCGAGATTCACGCTAGTGACAAACAGGAGCTATTTTATGATGATTCAGGCGCTGAACAACCTAAACGACACAGATGGGGTGAAGAAATGCTTTGAGGAATGGGAGTCGGTTTGTCAGAGTTACGACATCAGATTGGCGAAATCAGCCATTCGTGCTTTCCTGGCACGGGACATGGTTGAAGAAGCTGAGTCAATTCTCGAAAGCGCATCCAAGAGATCAAAAGGGCCTTGCTTCATATTATGGGAGCCGTTTGTGAATTACTTTCTGGAACACAATCAAATAAAGCGAGCTCTGCAGATGGTGGAAACTGCTGCGTCGAAAGTTGCTGGTGGGGAAGAGTGGCGGCCCAGACCGAGTACTGTGGAGAAATTCGTGAATTATTTGAAGACACAGAAAGATGATGTCGGGAGCGCGGAGGAATTCTACAAATTAATGAAGAGCGTCAAGTGTGTGGATAGCAGTGTGTACGAGGCGGTACTTGAGAGTTATGCGGGGGCTGGAATGACGGCGCCTGGTATGCGCGCACGCATGGAGGCTGATGGAATTGAAATCAGCGGCGAGCTTGAGCATTTGCTCTCGAGTGTGTGCCCTACGGCTTCGGCTTCGGCTTCGTCTTCTTAATGGTATTTTTATCGTTTACTATAACTACTCTACTCTACTCTGCTGTAGTATAGTAGTAGTAGTAAGTCAATCGACTCTTTCGTTTGTTTTCACTTCCTTGTTTCTTGGATCTTTTCCTATAAATTTGATTATATTGGCACTCAACTTGATCGAATGTTTCATTTTTGAATCTTTATGGAATCAAGTTCAAAGGTTTTTTCTTTTATTATAACGTGGGAATTTACCGTCGCTTTCCACTCAGATGCGCTCTGGTAAATTTCTGGTCGAATTTAATAGCGCTTGCAAACTAGGCCCGACAAGGCAAGTTCCAGTAGGCGATGAACATGTGTGACAAGAAACGACGGAGTTTGAGGCCATGACCTCAAGTTCAAAGTTTTCTGTTTTCTTCCATACATTAAGGAATAATGATTAGTAAATCATACAGTAGAGTACAGTACATGACAATGGCCCTAGTAAGAACAAAATGGTGATGTGTATTGTATGTGTGTGTGTAAGTGGGAGATGATTCTTTGTGTAACTAACAAACTCACTCTTAACTGTTCAAGGCTTGTGTGTCAAGGTTACTTGTGTGATCTTGATTGGTGTTTTTGGTCGATAATGCTGGTCAGTGTCCACCTCTTCAATTTCCTGTATTATAATGATAATAATAATAGATTATTTACCAGAAGAACCAGATAGAACAATAACACACTTAATTTGAAACACACCACCACAGAATATCTACCTACCTGAACAACATCCTCTCCCTTGACAACACGCCCGAATACATTAATTTTCTCATTTAGATCTGGGATTGGTGCTGTTGTGATCACAATATCAAAACCCTTCCCATCATCATTTTGTGTCTTCTTCGAAGTGCCCACCATGAAAGCTTCGTGTTTCAGGCTTAACATAAACAAACAATTCATATCATAAGCACACTCATTAGGATTAACTTGCTTGAAGAGCTGAGAGAGTTTTACCTTGCATCAAGTTGATTGTATTGCTTTCCTCTTGAAGTCCAATCTTCCGCATTTCCGATTCTGGTTGCATCACCTCCTTGAATGACAAAATTCTTTATTACACGGCTAAAGGGCATCCCCTCGAATCGTCCCTTTTTGCTGCACAGATGCAACACACCATGCTAATTGTGGGATTTATGTCATGGGGGGCAACATATTGCCAGAAAGTTCTCATACAATAGAAAAGGTCATGACATGATAAGGTAAGGAAATTGTCGGGTACCATGATTTAATGAATTCATTAACATCTTCTGGGGAACTTTCTTTGAAAAGCTCTACAGTAATTGAACCTTTTGATGTCTTTATAACCTGATATAGGAGTACACATTCATCAAAAAATTACTGAGATGAGCAGGCAAACCACACATGACCGGAGCTGACCGTAAAAACGAAACCAAGGGACCTAACCAGGTTTTGGAAATACAAACCACATGATTCATAACTATCAATTCTTTTTTATTTAACATAATAAATACCCTTTCATCAGTACACAAAATCAAAATATGTTGCAAATTAGGAAAACCTCATGGTATTTGTTAGTAAAGCAGCATTTCACACCAAGTTCTTTACAGCAACTTAAAAAAGATCTCGCTACATCTCATCGAAATAGTGTATTTAATAAACATATCAGGTGCAAAATCTAAACAATTGGAGATTTGATCTATCAAGTAATTAGCACTTGGGAGAGCTTACAGCATATTTGGGGATCTCACTTTTCCTAGAATCACCAATCGAAGTAGTATGCTGCAAACAAAGGAACAAGGACCAGTTTAGACGAGATGAACCTAATGAAGTAAAGAGACAATTTGGTGCCCACCATGTTAAGGAAAGATAAACACAAAACCTAAGACTATGCAGCCAATGATTGTTGTCCAACACGGAACTTTCACTTGAAGCCATGAGAATGCATGAAAGCAAGAGCTGAAGTGAAATATTAAAAAATTCAATTAGGATATAACAGTAGAGAATAGATTCACCTCTACGCTGGATAACTCTTCCGACGGATTACTCGACCTGGATGAAGACATAACAAGATTGAAAGTAATTATCAACTTAAGGATAATATTAATGCAATGTTTAGCCAACTAGACTAAAGCAAACTTTTTTTTTTTTAGACTAAATCGAACTTTGAAACTATAAGATTAACACAAAATCCAGTAGCTTATTCCAAATGTTACTCCATGTAGAATCAATGGCCACTTTTTTTCAGCCCAAGAGCTGCACATCTTCTACCATATCAATCAATAGCAATATTTGCAATAGCTAAGTAATAGTGCAAATAAGGAAATGAAGACAAGTAAAATTATAATGCAGCAAGGTCTAAAAATACCTAAATCCATAAGATCACATCTGAATACCAATATCAACCTATTTTGATGTATATATTCGTAGCAGGAAATTAAAAACCCAAATTACAAGAAGGAAATGAAGGATGATAATGAAGGAGTGAAAGACAGACAGACAGACCTACTGGTCCAGTGTTTGTAGGATGTGAAGAGGAAAAACCCTAAGACGATAACAACGAGGCTGTAAATTGCAATGGTAACAGCGCTGATTCGACTTGGTGCTTTCTTCTTTTTACTCTGTTGTAAGAGTGCTTGAGGTTTGATCCTCGCCATTTTTGCAGCCTCGAATCTGGAGATATGAAAGGAAAATCAGGCAACAATAACGGCAATTCTAATGCACACGAGAGTCTGAGACAACCTAAATTTACACACGAGGTAGAGTCAGAATCTGTCCAATCCAATACGTATCGAATGAGCATGTGGAAAGCCTAAGCCGTAATTTATTATAGAAAAGCAAGGAAATTGCACAGATTGAAGCTGTTGTTTATCAGAAAGAAAAAGGAAAATGATCAAAATTCATGAGGAGGAGGTTGAATTTGGAGGAAGGCATACATACATACATACATATACATACATCAAAGAGTGTTACCTCCTCAGGTTTGCTTCTCACCTCACCTCGGCCTCTTTTGCTAATCGAATTCTAAACTAATCTCTACTTGGGTTGCAGTTGCAGTTGCAGGCGAAACTTGAAACGAAACGAGACGACGACGTTCTTTAGACGAAGATTGAAGAATGGAGTGGTTGGTATCTATTAAGTTGATCAATCACTTTATACATACATATGCCTGTATATATATATATATTGGTATCTATTAAGTTGATCAATCACTTTATACATACATATGCCTGTATATATATATATATATAGATATATCAGTCTCATTAATTGTTCACTAAGCATGAAGTAATGAATTACTAAATAATACTCGCTCCGTCTTCTTAGCCCCAAATTAGAAATATATATATACATTGTAAGTGGACGGAGAAGAAGTCGAGAGAAGTATTATTTCCTAAGCATAATTACCTTTTAGTCATTCTGCTTTACATTAATTAAAAAAATGTCTTAGACACAAAAAGTAAATAGAACTTACCAAAATCAATATGAAAGAATGACAATACATATAGGGAATAAAACAACCAATTCAACTCAACTCAAGAAAACAAAACTAAACTCAATTCAAGCCAAGGAAGGAAGAAAGAAGCAGCAGAAATGTGCTGTAACTGCCACTGCTAAATAAGAGAGTAGGAGTAGGAGTAGGAATGAATAATGGAGTGGTATGACATGAATCTCATATATATATATATATATATCAGTCTATTCTACTCTACTCTACTTTAGCCTATTCCTAAAGAGTATCGTTGACGTTGTCTATGGGTCTGAAGTTCGCTATCCTGTTCATTCTGGAAAGCCGGTGGCCGATCAGAATGGACATGCAAAAGGCCACCACTGAAAACACCAGCGAAAATGCTGTCGCGGCATCCCAAGGGCTTTTCTCCACCTCTTTCTTGTTGTTGTTGTTGGCTGATGATGTCAACGGCTTCATGAAATCAACAACAATCCAATCACAGCTGATTGAATAGTGCCCAGATCCATGCCATGGTTTTCCTTCCATAGGATACCAGAATGCTGCTGATACCTTGCTGGTTTTTCCAATTGTGAACTGAGCATCCTGCATGCATATCATTTACAATCAATGTCGCTACTTACTGTTTGCACTTCAAATCATCACCACCATCGTATCGTATCTTGTCATAAGAAACCGGGGAATCTTCATTGAAGCTACCTCTTACCCAACATTATTGTTTATCTCTATCAAAGTTACCTGCTGGAGACGATCCATTGTTCTTAGTGGCCTTGAAAATTCAAAGTTGTATGTTCCCTTTTGACCTTCTGATGCATATGGACTGTCCTCCTTTATGAAGCCTGTTTGATAGAACTCACACTTCTTATAAGAGAATAAAGCAAAAACTTACAAAAATAGATACCAGCCTCAATAGTGCAGGAAATCCAAAAAGAAAGCTTTATATACCTGCATACCATCCAGGAGGAACAAAGATATAAAGAAAGAAAATAATAAGGTATCATATTTTCAGATGTAGCCATAAGTCCATAACCAAAGCCGCCTTATCACTAAACAAATGAAGTGAAGTGATTGGATTTTAGTTTCAATGATCACCGTGAAAGTAAGATGAAGAAGATTCAGGCATTTTTATCAACATGGATCTACAACATAATTCATTGTTACCCACACACACATGCATGTATATTCCTGAAAACCTGAATGCAAATAATTGTCCAAATAGATGTTTGAGTGCCATCCCAAGGAGCAGCACTACACAGTTTTGATAAAGAAGAAGATGTACAGAACAAATTGAAAAGGGTCTTTTTTCATTACAAAGGAAGATTACCTGAGCGGTCGACCAAGCTACTATGCCACCATGATCCTCGCCAATCATTTTGTGCACTGGTGTCATTCCCTAATTTAAAGGGAACCAAACAGCATGAAATCAATAATAAGTTTCGAATACATCTGAGAGAAGTAAATTAATTTTGCTCACGTTTTGGTAAAACCATCATGGATGTGGCAGTGAGGAAAAACAGCTAACAAAGAATAAAAAAGGTAACTGAATTTTTCAGTAAATGTAGATAAAAATTGATTGTGAAGGATATTAGTTATCTTTCAATGGCAAGATATACAGCAAAAAACCCTTATCCTTAAAGCAGAGTAGAATAACAAACAAAGAAATCCTAATCAAACAAAAAATTATAATCAGTAAAAGGGATATAGAAAGAAGCACTATTTGCAAAGCCGATGTTTCATTGTAGAACAAAAAAGAATAAAATAGCTACCCACATGGCCAAATCCGAGCTGAGGAGCATCAACAAAGGTAACATACCTTACACTTGGCAACTAGCAATTTGATAGTATGATGCAGCTTAATATATACAAAGACTGTACGCTCTGAAATCTACAAAGAATAACTTTAATGTACCTGATGGGCTGAGGCCATCAAGGAATCTACAGTGTGGGTTCCAAGAATAGGCATCTATCAAATGACCAAACCTGTTAGTTGCAGTGTAGACAGAAGAGTCAAGCCATGACACAAGTTTCAGAGAGCAAGATGAAAAAACATACTACAAAGAAACGCACCATGGAACTACATTACCTATCACCTCCATATCCTTCTCGGCTGTCTACAGGATTTTTACCATAAAGTCGTCCAGGGATAGCATTTCCTATAGAAAAGTGCATAATGTCCACTTCATGCCCTTGGCAAGTCTTGTTTGTGCATGAGCCTGGCTGTTCTTCACAACCACCCATCTTTACAGTACACAGATTGATCAGTATATATCAAAGATCGAAAAAACATAAAATTATTCAACAGGGAAAACAAGATGACTGTTGAAAGGACGCTACTCACTCTATGATAGGTTGCATTTTCACCAATTTGAAACATCAAAGCAACGGACGGGCATTTTGTGTTATCTCTGTATGGAAAAGAGCACGTTGAAAACTTAAAAATAACTTTCATAAATAGAGGCCAGTGAAGAGTTCCCCAAGGGCAACAATTGGGGAAGATGGCACAAATGAAACAATGCAAAACAGCAAGTAAGAAGAATTGCACAACCCAAAGATGAGAATGAGATCAAATTGTTGCTAGCCATTTAGTGTTCAACACCTGTGTGATAATAGAAATAACAATTTAATATGTTCAAGTCAAGACATTTCATCCCACATTACATCATGGCAATTGGCATCACAGATTTTTCAAGTGAATTCGACATCAAACAACACTGGACTGGATGTATCTATATCATCACAAATTATAACCTTGAAAAAACTTCAACGTAATTCTCTCAAATTGAACCCTACAGATTGATTCTGATTTAAACACAGGGAATCAAATAATACTACACAGAGAGCGAGTATGTATCCTTTCGAGTTTCGATCGAATCCACAATTTAAACTACTATAAAAATTCCTAAATCTTTATTTATTTATCTCTAGAAACATCAATAAAGGAATACGAGTTGTTCAAGTCACATAAGATCCTAAAATAGAAGAAATAGTACCCCTGAGTATATGCATAGTTTCCATTAACCTGTAACATGAAGTACGCATCGTTTCCGTCGTGCAAAACCTAAACAAGGACGAAGAATTAACAAAGCTATTAATCAGAAATTACAAAGAAATGGAAGTACCTTAAGAGTCATTTTCCCAGCATTGTATTCTTTATCAGGATCCGGGTCTACGGCGAGCAAAAGGGAAAATTCCGATTCTTTGACGTCCTTCCAATCATCTACTTTCCCATCGACGGTAATGATGCCAGGTCTGAATTCAGCCTGAACTAGGATCCCGGAGCTGGAATCGCAGTGCCAGTCCTCCGCCTCCTGGTGAGAGAGCACTTGCCAGATCCAATCTTGTGCCAGTAGCACGATAGCGATGAGGAGACGAAGCCGAAACCGAAGCATCACCCGCCTGTCCGTCCGTCCGTCCGTCCGTCGGGGGAAGAAAATTCGAAAGATCGGCGTATGTATGTACGGGTATGTAACGCATAAATGGCGCCCCCTATAAATTGGGGATTTGTTCATTTGGCAGTTCCTTTGTTTATCGTATATTATATTATATTCTCTACACTACACCGACCCCACTACTGTTGTGTTGTTAATCTATCTTTTCCATTTTCATTTAGGAGGTGTGTATGGGAATATAAAATGCACTGTTCTTCAAGAATCAAGCCTAATAGTATATCTATCTAATCCGTCTGTCATTTTACAGTTCTATCCTAAAAACAGGGTAAAGTATATGCTCGACTCGAGTTTAACGGCCCTTGTGATTCACAAACATGGAGAAGGTCTCATCTGTACTTGTTTTGCTGTCGTTTATGTCATTGATGTCGTAATCGTCTTCCCCAAGGCTTAATGTGTTCCGATGCATTGCAATAAGGCTGTTGTGATCTGTTATTACTTCCTCAGCTTCCTTAGAAGCAGACGCCGCCGGCAAGTTGGTTTGCAGCTGAAGCGCAGACTCGAGGCTCCAGAGCACGTCGCCCATGGTGGGGCGGCCGGCGCCGTGGTCGGCCAGACATTTCTCCGCAACCTCGGCGAATTTATTCAGGCTCTCGGGAGTGATTTTCCCTTTGAGGTGAGGATCAATTATGTCGTGGAGCGTGTCGTTCCTCGCGCAGCGCAGAGCCCAGTCTGCGAGGCTGACCTGTTCTTTGGGGAGATTAGGGTTCAGAGCAGGTCTGGCACAGAGCACCTCGAAGAGCACCACTCCGAAGGAGTACACGTCGGATTTCTCCGTCAATTGCTGCCGCCGGAAGTATTCGGGGTCGAGGTAGCCGAAGCTGCCCTTCACCACCGTGCTTACATGTCCTTTGCTCATGTTGGGGCCTGTTTTGGAGAGCCCGAAATCGGAGACCTTAGCTACCCATTTGTCGTCCAGAAGAATGTTCGTCGTCTTCACGTCTCTGTGGATGATCGTGTACTTTGCACCTGTGTGCAGATAGTGAAGCCCTCGAGCTGCTCCGATGCAGATTTCAAGCCTCTGCTCCCATGGAAGGCTGCTGCTGCTGCTTGTCTTGCTCCCCTTATTACTGTTGTTGTACAGATGCTCCCTTAAAGTCCCTCTCCCCATGTGGTCGTACACCAGTATCATCTCGCCGTGGTCTTCGCAGAATCCGATCAGAGACACCAAATGCCGGTGCCGGAGCTGCGACAGCATCTCTATTTCAGTCTGGAATTCATGGACGCCTTGCTCCGACGATGGGTTCGATCTCTTGACCGCCACTTTGGTGTCCCCGTCGATGACCCCTTTGTACACCTTCCCGAAACCGCCGACGCCGATCACATTCGACTCGTCGAAATTCTTGGTGGCGCTTCTGATTTCCGGCAGGCTGAAGTACCGGCAATTGGAGGCGGCGTCCGTCGAAATCGACACACCTCCTCCTTGGCTTTTGCCGAATGTGGTGGAAGATTTATTGGTGCTGCTGCTCGATGTCCATGAAATTGGCAGCCAACTATTCCCTGCGTCCTGTCCACCAACAGATTTCTTCTTCCTGTAAGCAGCGACGATTAAGACGGCCGCTATGCCGACTGCGGCGGCTCCGCCGGCGACACTGGTGATGGCCACTTTGGAAGAGTTTGATGCGTCAGGATCCTGCGCAAATGCCTTGGGCGCCATGTGAGCTTCCTGGTACTTCTTCATCATATCGGATATGGTGGGATTAGGTCCGGCGAGGCTCGACGACGCTGCATCACTGATCCTGTAAATCTCGAGGCCGTTGAGCAGGACGTCCATGAATTCGGCCTTGGTGGCGGCGATGGGATGAAGAGCCACCCAGATATGAGTGTCGGCACTTCTGTTGCTAACACGAACTACATAATCCCTGTAAATCGGAGTTGCAATGGAGCTCGTCCAGGCAAACACGTCCACTTCCGCTGCTGCAGTTTTGTTGTTGATGTAGACGTCGAAGACTCTCTGGTTAGGCCTCGTCATCTCGGAATCGCACCAATGGAACCTGACCAGGTACATGAAATTAGGGTCCACTTGAAATAGCCATGTCAGGTTCGCATTCATGTTCACATCCTTAAAGGCTCCCATGGATCTGTAACTCCTGTAAACGTCCAATGGCGCCATGTACGGCGGCAAGTCCTTGTACGCGACAGTGGCGTTAGCCTGCAAAGCAACTCCCTGTCCGGCGCCGTAGATGTAGAGGCTGTCGTCGTACCAGCTTCTCATCAGGCCGCCGGAATCTTTCGTCGGAGGGATGTACATCCCGCCGACATTCACCCTGAACATCGTCTCCAGGCTGCTGGAGGCAATCGGGAAGGTGGAAGCCGATTGGGAATCGATGTCAGATGCGGCAGTGCCGGCCAACATAGGATCCTTATCGAAGACCGGGGGTGCAGAAAGGAGCTCGATGCCATTGACAAACGCGAAAGAGGAAGGGTAATCGTCGGAGGGCTTGAAGGTGAGCTTGAAATTGGGGTCAGGGGATGGAGCAAGGAAATACTCCTTGATGAAATAGGCCTGAGAGAGGGCTTCGGCGGAGAGGGCGGCGCTGAAATTGCTGAGCAGAGTGAGGCCTCCGGCGAGGACGGAGAAGTAAGAATTGGAGATGTTGAAATGTGGAGGGTACCAAGAAGGGTAGAAATGGAGACGAAGGAGGATACGGGAGGGAGGAGGATTTTGATTTTGTTGAGGAAGGGGGAATTGATAGGTTGCTTGGGATTGGAAGATCCGGGCAGTCATGTAGGGCACGGTGGAGGATAAGGAAGGGTCTTGGGAATCTGCCCGGGCAATGGCATTGTTGCTGCCGGAGACGAGGTAGGGGTCGTCGGGCAGCCAGGCACGGCCGTCGGCGTCGTTGCCGCCGTCTGGGTTGCCGCAGCTTAAGAGCAATGGGGGGCCGCCGGCGACGGCGGGGAGGAAGAAGATGAGGAGCAGGTAAGAAACGACAAGAGAAGGTAGGGACAAAGACATGACAGATTTCGCTTACTCATGTCCGTCCTCTCCTATTTTCTTTTCTTTTCTTTTGTTTGTGTGTGGTGGTAAGGTACGATCGTATTTGGTTTTTTGTAGTATCATAATATTTGTAAATGAATTGAGGTTAGGGCTGGGGGGGTGGGTGGTTACTCCTCAATTCCTTCCAATCAATTCTATTCTATGCAAGGGAATGAGGAGGTAGGAGGGTGGGTGGAACTAGTAGGTTGTCTTGTATCGATAATTTTATGGGTCTGAGTCTTCTTTTTTTTATTTTTTTTGGTGTAATTTTGGCCCGTTGCATGAGGTTTTTGTCTGTCTTTTTTGTTTTCGGTTTTTGGAGATGTGTCGACGTTGAGGAGGTGCATCATATTCGGCACTTGAATTGGCAGGGAAAGGAGGGAGAGGCAATGAGTTTGTTGGACACTGTGTTATTTATATTAACATTTTAATTGATAATATAAAATTAATATATTATTTTAATTTTTTAAATAATTAAAATAATATTTATATAGAGACGTTACTAATAAATCCAATGTCTCTCTCCCATTAATCTCATTCTCACTATTATTACAAGGTATAATTAGACTAAAAAGTTCCATCCAATCTATAATTACTAGCTTGTTTAGATACAAACTTTATTCAAAAATATATTTTTCGATTAAATATATATTAGAAAATAAATAAAGCCATAAAATAATTTTCAAAGTAATTATGAAAATTATCGATATCTATATATGCTTAAATTTATAGAAGACATTTTATATAAGAACAATTGCAATGGTTTGTCATTCAAAAAGCCTCAAAATACATTCAAATACATATGTTAGTCGGATCAACAAATATTGTTTCTTAAATATTGAGGTAATCCTCTTACATAATTCATGATTGTCTCTCGAGTTGTCGACTATTTTATCTTTATCACTTCATTAACACTATCAAAATAAAACAATACGAGAGGATAAACAAAGCTACCATAATTTTCTATAGATGTAAAAGACCTAAACAATTCATACAATCCGATTGCTAAATGAAATAAGAATTGTTATTGTATACCTCCATAAAAATTTTAATAAAAATAGCTCGCGCATTCGAAATAGTCTTCTAAAGAAAAATTAAGAAAAGTGAGGCATCTAAGATAAGTAGTCCGTACACAACTCTTCATGTCTTCATTCTCTATCCCTTTATATGTAGTCTCTTTGTGTGTCCAAATTATTAGCTTTTGCACTTGCAATAAATGTGGACACGCTACATATGATGCATGTACATATCAATATATTTTACAATCAAGTAGTTTGTATTGACACGCAAAAATAAATTATACAATAACACAATAGATTAAGGATTTAATGTACTCTTTTCGTCGTTTTCATTTATTTTTTTACATCATTGTACTTAACATTAAGAATATACTTACATTTATATAATATTTTTTATAAATATTATTATATTTGTATTATACACACTAATAAAGATATTTTTACTTTTTTTTTTCTCTTGTTGATTCGTATTACATGTGAATATAATATTAATATTCAAAATTCAACATACGACAAATAAATAAATATTTTACTTAACGGACTAAGAAAGTAGGGTAAATTATATAACACATCCTTGTGTTTTACTAAAAATGTACAAAATAAATATCCTATATCAATGGAAAATTTGCATAAAACACCGTCCTTGTTCAAAACTGATGTTTAATTCAAAATAAAGACCTAAATTACGTAAGTTTTATATAAATAAAAAAAGTAAAATATCTTAAATAATTATTTTGAATAAAATAAAAAAAATAAATAATTGATCAATCATTTATTTTTATAATTTTTATAAAAATTAGAAAATAATTTATCTTAAAAAACTATAAAATGAAAGATTAAAAAATTATTTATTTATTTATTTAATGCAAAAAAATTATTTAAGATATTTTAAGCTTTTTATTTGTATAAAATTTGCGTAATTTAGGTATTTATTTAGAACTAAATATCAGTTTTGGACAAGAAGGATGTTTCGTGCAAACTTTACATTAACATAAGGGGTTTCACGCAATAAATAAAATACATGGTGCTTTGTGCATTTTTACAAAAATACAAAGGGTTGTTATATAATTTACTCAAGAAAATGTGGAAATACAAAATGAAAGAGACACGTCAGTATCGAACTTCAAAAAATAATTTTGGTCATTGTTGTGGAAAGTTACTATTAAAAGAAAATCAAGACCCACAATTACACATTGGTACAACATTATATATTCTCTCTCCGTCCACAAACTAACGTCCTACTTTTTTATTTGGAATGTCCAATAATTATTGTCTTCTTTCTATTTTTATACACAAAATTTACTCTTTTACCTTTTCTTTATTTACTCTTTCATTTTCTATACACAAGATTAAAGACAAATTTGTCATTTTATAGCAAAAATCTTAATTGCCTAAAAATGCGTGTAAATATCAAATAAGACATTAGAAAATGGATGGAGAGAGTAATATTTATTGGTTATATAAAGGTACATGGGGTAAAGTAAGGCACCAAACACGAGAAATATTATTTCATCATTCAAAGCTCATGTCTTCTTTTGTAATAAGTTCAATTCCATAAAAGAAACGAAGCAAAATCCAATAGCACAACAATTTTTTACAATATTTTCTTCAAGCTAATGATTTCAGTTAATCAAAACAAATAACCATTTTATCTTTCAACTTTCACATAATATAACAACAATAATTAAACAAGCTTTTGGAATGAACTTCTTTTATACAAACTAGATCGGTAGACAACCACCATAGGAAGAATTTCCTTACATTAAATCATATACCTCAAAATAATGATTTCCTTACCTATATTGCTAAATCAATGGTTGAAACAAGCAAACACATCATATTAATTCATAGTGCAACAATAAAGTGACAATCATCTTTGCATATTTATTTGGTACACAGGCAAGCATACCTAGCATATTTTTTCTATCAACCAGCTCAATAAAATTAAAACCACCTTAGCCAACACCCAAGAATTGTCGAATTCAAGATGTTCACGATTTAACTAACCCTATATTTTTATTTAATCATTTCGTCAAGAAAAGAAATGATCTTAGCAACATCAATCAAGGAAAATAGATAGAAATTGTTTAGTACGGTAATGTCCAGCTGAAAAACAAGTTACATGCGAGATACATATGCAATCTTCGACAATATAAACCGTCATAACAAAATACTAGTTGCAATGAAAGTAGAAATACTCAATCTAACAATAAACATTAGTATAGAAATAACCAAATTAGCCAACACAAGGTGTCGTAGCATTGAGATATTTTCCTTGTCTCTTTTCTCCGTGTTGCATGAACATTTACATCGAAATGCATCACTGACAAAGGGATGTTGTGGTGTAGCACTTGAATAACTAAAGTAGAAGGATCTCTCTTTCTTCATTTCATATTCTTGGTATACTTGGTCGTTGCGATCATCTTCACAACACAACAATTTATTACAAGGGTTACATCCATAATATCACCTACCCGAAGTATTTTTGCTCCTTTGAAATTTTTAGTACACCATTTCTGCCAGATGAACATCTTCGTCTCATGTACAAGAATGATATTTATGTAAAAAAAGTAAAAGTAATTAAGAAACTATATTAAAAAAATATGATAAAGTTTATCCCATTAATGCTTATTACACCGATATCATCTAAATACAGGAACAAAATTACTTGACCATACTCATTCCCATACATTGGCTTGTAATTTATCCTTCAATCCAAAAAATTTTTTGGAATAAAATATCAATCGAATTCTCTTACATTTTAACAGATTCGACGAAAAAAAAATTAAACCTTAAGATACAATAAAGATCAAACTTACAAATTGTTTTACTTTGAAGAATATAGAATTATCGAAATTTAGTTTAGCTAGCCAGATTGCCTACCAATCCATACAAAAGATTTAATATCATATCCTATAATTCCATGCAGAAGATAATTCTAACTATCAAAATCTGCATAAAAGAGATTTTCCATTTTCGAACCCTCTTTCTTTCTCACTATTAATCAAATCAGACGCAATTATTGGAAAAAAATTGAAAACTGTCCAATTTATTTGACCATTTGGAAGCTAATTTTAACACTCACACAAATTGCAACAAAAAAGCCCTACTTCACAAACAGGTCCAGAAATGAAAACTATCGCTCGATTTGAACCAAAATCGATAAAAATTTACAAAAAAGGTTAGCGAATAAGACACCGGAGGGAACCTTCGGTGGATACTAGAGAAGTCTCTAGTGAGAAATAAATTTCATTTGCTAGACAATAGAGAGAACAAAAAAAATTAAATCTTGAAAGAGTGAAGAGAAAAATAGAAATCTCTCGTCGACTTGGCCCCGATGTTGTCAAGTTATGGAAAGAGAAGAGAAGCAGAGAATTAAGAAGATTGAAGACGATGGTGATAAATTGGGTTAGGTTATAATGGACCTATTTCTTTTTGCTGTTGTATTTTATTTAGTTGATTTAGGTTTATTTTTCTTGGGCCAGCCCATTAGGTTGTCAGAGTTTGTTACATTAGGTTGTCAGAGTTTGTTAGAGGTAGATTCTTTGTATATATCGTCTTCTTCCTTGGCTAATCAACAGTAAGATACACAGTAGTTGTATTTTCATTTTCTTCATGGTATCAGAGCACCCAGGGCATTGGGATTACTGCTCTGCGATTAAAGGATCATTATTTCTCTTTATCTGATTGGGAGTTCTCAACCTTGAATCATGTCAATTGATTCTTCCACCTCTGATGCACAGAGCTTGAATGCAGCGGCTCAAGTGGTAACATCTATGGCACACTTGGAGTTGCATCCATCTGATCAACCTGGTATGAGCTTGATTACTACCCAGCTCAATGATACTAACTACTTACTGTGGAGTAGGGGGATAATGCGTGCCCTGATTGCAAAAGGAAAAGAAGGTTTCATCACAGGTGAAATCTCTAGGCCAAATGATGGAGCCTCAGCCATTGTTTGGAGAAAGACTGACAACATGTACTACAATGAATCCTCAACTCTATTGCATCTCACTTGACTGATGCCTTTGGGTATGTGAGCACCAGTCATGAACTGTGGGAACTACTGAAAGAGAGATACGGCCAGTGTAACGGCCCCCTAA